TAACCAATCCGAAAAGGGACTATGTGATTGCATTCGATGCGTTTGAAAAACAACATTGGTTATTGTATCTTCTTAATGTTGATATACCAGTCAAACGGGCAATGCGCAGATGGAGTAGTTACTATCCTTCGCGAACAGGGTTGCGAGTCACGTTGATATCGGCAAAATTCCAGCATACCCAAGCGGCCCTCTAGAATAATTCTCAGTGTACTTTGCTTGTCGCCTTTCCTCCCTCTGTTGTAAATATCCTCGTGGTTCAGGTACTGTATTTCAAGATGATACAATTCGCGACAAACTTACCACAGACACACATTCTTTATAAGAATAATAGACCCATTAGATGTATTTTTATAGACTAGATGAGTTAACGAGTCCAATATACGGACATTTACGAACGATTGGTTATCATTCACAAACCAGCATTTGCATGTGCCAACGCGTTTAACTAATAAGGCAAAGCGTAATCCGACCACTTATTTTAAATTTCACTTAAATTTAATGCTCAGCAGGCATTTTGCAGACAGACGAGATTTCGGCGATAGTGAAGGTTGCCGAAAACCCAAGAAATTGCTTATCCTACTTAATATAATAGAACGAAGACTATATTTTATTGCGTTATGCTATAGATAAGCCGTAAATAGTTCCAAAATACCTTGAAGAACAGGCAAAGCTGATTTCAACTCAATTAAATAAGGTGAAAGCAAGTAAAAGTAAGCTCATTGGTTTCTTCAAACACGGAATAAATATAGTTCTTTAAATATCCTTTTGAGGACGGCTAAAGTTTTTGCCAGAGAACGCAGAAAGCAGCTTGTTTTACCAAACCGAGATTAGGGACCGTAATTAAAAATTTAATTTGAGCATGCCCCAACATACTTCTTTGTACAGGGCCGTTTCCAATAATGCCTAATTTAGAAACAGAAGGCATAGCGAATTCCGAGTTTTCGCATGATATTAGTACCGATATATGGTCAGTCTTTTTTGCAGTTTCGAACTTAGAATAGGTTCTAAAATTAAGCAAATATAACTAAAAATGCACCAAGATAGAGAGTAAAGTGGCCGACTTGCTGATTTTCTGGCAAAACAAAAGATGGATAAATATGCCTTATTTTTACTTTGACCTTTCCTTTGAAAAACGTAAATTACGTCGACATCTGACTGTTAAACTAAATTTCAACTGTAAAAGAGAAATTGATAGTAAAAAGTTTCCTTAACTAATTTAAGGCAAATCGCTATCCAACAGTTCTTTTGGACGCTTATTTTTCTCGACAACCCCTGTCTGCAAATATGAACACAACGACCATGTTCATAAGATTTTAAGTAATATCATATTTGCGTTTTGATAAACATATAGGACACTATCTTAATTTATGAAAAGTAGCTTGAAAACATGGAAAATTGGGAAGAATTCCAGGGAAATTGCAAGAAAGGTCTGACACAAATTCTAAGCAGATATCAAAAATATATATATATATATATATATATATAAATTTGACGAAAAGAAAGTTCTTTAAATATGCACAAAATGGTATGCTTACTATTTCACCTGAAAATTTTGTTTTAATTTGCTGCTCACAATTACAGTTATTTTTCACGCTTTTGGAATTCAAGGCTTTGTTTTTTAACAAAGCTGCCATTTCTGAACAATGCAATGTCACTTTTTATCTTTCCATTAATTTTTCAATTCACCCAGGGTCGCTCATTAGTATTTCAAAGTTTCAGCAAATGCATTTTTGTCACTTTATGAAGGATTATCATTTTTTGCACATTCCTCCCGTGCGATATCGACAAAAAATATCAGGAAATGTCCTCGATGTACCTGAGCATGTTTTTTTCATCAAATAAATACTCTTTATCAATAAAGATAACCGTAACTAGAATTAATAAATGAAGTCATACAGATAACATTTCGTGTATATTAATAGATGTTTCTTTTCGTCAAATTGGTTTATGGATATTTTTGGTATTGCATTAGAATAAGTTGCAGGTTAATCTTCGAAATTACGGCAAATGCTTCACGATTTCGCGTGTTTTCAATTTATCTTCCACAAACTTGAATTCCTGTATCAATCTTTGTCAAAACGTTCAAAATAAATGATTCCTGTAGATCATTAACCAAAGGAGTGTATTTCTTGATTGTTTTCCTATGAAGCTTGCCATTTAAGTCATATTTTTAGACTCACCCAAACATGAAATTACATGGCCAAGAAGGTTCAACGCCCTCAACGGAAGTAGTAGAGGTGGTTATTTCATGGGCCGAAATATATTTTGACTGAGGCTTCAAAAACACACTGGAAAAGAGCGTGCTCTTGAAACGTCCGTCAAAACTTATTTCGGTCCATGAACTTTCCACCTCTACTGCTTTTTCATCAGGACATGAGAAACGTGATGTACAGTACGCGCCAGAATTCATGTAACATGCCGAGATGTGCGAAAGATTGATACTCTTTATCTAAACGGCATTGACTCAGGTTGTGATACTGATTATGGTATAGTTCACTCTGAAGTTACTTCAGTCATGATAGGATATCGGCTTTTAAACGAGCTTCGTTCTGACCACTTGCAAAACGTATATGCTCTAAAAAGTAACTACTTAAATAGTTTGCCTTTATAAATTCAAATATATTTTATGGAAAACGTAAAGGAAAAACATATTTCTTGCACTCTTTTGGTAGCATATTACGCCTTCGTAAAATCTTATATTTAAAAAGGGTATCTTTCGGTTTTAAAAATGTCTACTTGTGAGCTTTTTACGATTGTGAAGTGTTATTTCATAAAACATTGTATCCGTCAATTTATAAGAGCCGCCTATACTGTAAAGAGCGTGTTCCACACCTGTTGTAACATTTTACGAGAACTATATGACTTCGCCATCAAACCGCAGGCAAAAGCGAACTTTTCCTTAAACAGGATATCCGCAATGCACTGTTAGTAAACCTTGAATTGGAGTTTAGCAATGGGTAGGTCTCAAAATTATTCAGCAATTTAGAAACTTTTTAAAACCGAAAGAAATCCTTTTTTAAGCATACGATTTATAGAAGGCTTACTTTGCTACCAAATGAGTACAATAACTATTTCTTTCCTTTGCGATTTCCATAAAATATATCTGAAATTATAAAGACAGTTAAAATCAAAGCTAAATACGCATACTATTTAAGTAGTTACTTTTAAGAGCATATATGTCTTGTTAGCAGTCAGAAATAAGCTCGTTAAAAAGCCGACATCCTATCGTGACTGAAAAAGTTCAGAATGGACTACACGATAATCAATATCACAACCTGAGTCAGTGCCGATTAGCGAAAGAGTATCAATCTTTCGCACATGTATACATGTTGCACGAATTCTGGCGCGTACTGTATATATTTATATTTCCTGGACACAGCTGCACACGGACATTGAACACGCAACACGGTAACGGCGTCTAAACTGACCTCAATCTGTCAGCCTCATAAAGTGTCAGCATGCTTTATGAGCTCCGCCTGCACCCTTCTCCCCTTCCGCTAATTTAAAACCACTTAAATGTATGTTTTGTGAGGCGCTGTGCAACTTCCACGTCTGATGACGGAAGCCTGCGAGCTTTTGAAACGCCAAGGAGGTAAGAAAGAGCTTTTCTTGATCGTATCTGCTCTTGCTCTTATATATCCACATATATCGGCCACGTTTGAAGAAAAATATATACCAAAAGTCTAATTGGCAAAAGTATGTTTTAGACAATTCCCGATCGGCCTTGTCGAATTGCAATGATTAGGACGATAGGAGAATTTCCGCACCGTCCGCATGGCAAGATCGGCAGGCAGAGTTCATTGCATTTGGGGAAGGGAGGAAGGAAAGGCTGCCGGTATTGGTCATGGGTTGGCTACGCGGAATGAAAATCACTGTCACATGCACGGAATGAAGAAATGTGACCAGGGGATGACAGTCGATCACCCCATTCACGTGATATGAGAAAAACTTTATTCACAAACCGAAAGTCATTCTGAATAAAACGTAGCATGTACGGATAGCAGCCGCTTGATTAAAAAGCGACGAACGACTTCTCAAATAGGCTACTACTTGAGCACTCTTTTGTTATAGGTCTACTTTTTGGAGCGGT